TTATGGCCCTGCGTGATTTGCGTGATTCACATGAATTTCGCGGAATTCCGGAAATTTTGCATGTTCTGTGAGTGGTTTCGTACTATAAGAGATAGAGTGATAAAAACTCACACAGCGTTTTCTAAAGTACATTTCTTATTGTATATCAAAAATGATCCAATTTTGTGTTGTCAGTGATAAATGATAAAATGATGATATCAATGGCAACGACAGATAAGAATGGCTTAAATTCATGCGGTCGATCTCCACGTTCATCTTCCATATAGGTACAGAATTTCAGCCCAGGCTTCGGCGTGAAGCAAGTTGAAGCAAAAATGCCATTCTAGGTAAGAATTGGCAGCAATGGCATGTGCCGATGAAAAATCGATCGATTGCTGCAGCGAGGGATCTACCAATTGCACCGAGCAATAGAACTAGAAAAGCCTGTAGATCACTTATAATGAGAGAAAGAGCGATAGAAATTCACACAGCTTTTCCTACAGTACTTTCCTTACCATATGCAAAAAATGATCCAAAAATGTTTTGTTATCAGTGATAAATGATAAAATGCTTATATCAGCGATAAGGATAGATAAAAACTGCCCAATTTTTCGCGATAGTTTTCGATAACGAGAGCTTAGTACCAGAACCTCCTATACGCGATTTACACTGTGATAAATGTTCACAAAAGCCTTAACGTAGAAAACAACAAGGTATCATTGTATGTCTACCCCGTCACTATGAACTACGGACATACCGTATATCAAAAGATTCGTCTCATCAAGCTGAAACCAAATCTTCACTCAGATTACAAATAAAGCTATTTTAAATGAAGTTATGGCTAAATCCCGCCTATCCCGCAAATCCCGCGAAGTCGCGAATCCCGCGAATCCCGCGAATCCCGACAATCCCGCGAATCCCGACAATCCCGCGAATCCCGACAATCCCGCAGTTTTGGACAAATTCCACCGCTGCAACTGTAGTCGATTTGCGAGGGATTTACCTAAGAATTCAAGAAGATTTTTGCTTAGAGATGTAACGCACGGTTGTCATCATCCTTATGGCGACTACCAAGCCATTATAACTCCAGTAAGCGATTCAAACCCACGATTTATCTTTTGAAGAGTACTTTCGTCCTCTCGAAATTACCGATCTTACATAAAAAAGCTTTTGAAATGAGTAGTTGTTTACAATTCATTCCCGATGTTCGGCATCGCGTGGTAGGTTTCAAAAACATTATTTTACGAGTTCGAGGAAGGCACGTGGATAGTAGGACCAGTGCGAACCTCTGCGAAGCAGAGGTGACGCACTGGTACCGTATAACCACCATAACTCTATGAGAAGGTCCCAATATGCAGAGAAAGTATGAAATTCGTAATCAGCATGTCGAATAAGTTCTCTGGACCAAACTCCAGCCGAAATCATGATTTTGGCTTCCTACAGTACACGAACCCGGGGAGGCGTTCTGCGGAGAAAGTGTGATATATCTTTTCAGCGCGTAAGATAACTCTTATACACGAAATTTGAGCAAGCTCTATGACAAAAATTTTGGGGCCTGGATAGCCGAGTAACGCCAAACTGATATTGTGTTCGTAATCAGCATGCTCGATTACCCCTCTGTGCCAACTCCCAGCCCCGTAGCTCAAACTTCGCAAAAAAAATTGATAAAAGTAATGGACGATTTGAAAAACTAATATTGATCAGCATGCTCGATTACCCCCTGTGCAAACTCCCAGCCCCGTGGGTGAACTCAGCAAAAAAATCGATAAAAATCGATAAAATCGAGAAAAGTAGCCTATGACACCCGACCGGCCCCGAAGTGTATGTGTGCCAAGTTTGGTCCGGGTCGGTTCAGAAATAAAAATTTCTATTAGGAACATACGTACATACAGACATACAGACAGACATACATACAGACATACATACAGACATTCAGCTTTATATATAAGCATACATACAGCTTTCAAATGCATATATACACTTTGCAAAACCCAATGCAAAATTGTGAGAAAATCGAAAGAAAAAATGGGACTGGACTTATTACACAACCTTATAAAGTATTTGTCGTTGAGATTCGACCGAGGCGAAGAAGAAAAGAGTTTGAAAATGAAATTTCCAAAACTGCCCGGAAACCTTTTTCACAACCTAATAGGAAGGAAATGACTTTTCCACCAATGCCGACGCGTCTATATGAGGGCGACCATCGTCTGATGTCATCACTATCGATGACAAAATGCGTTATTTACCGTACTTGAGTTGATAAGTTTTGGCCAACAGCTTCCACATTGTCACAAAGGACATAAAATCGTTTGTCAATAACATGCACTCGTTTCGGCTATTCATGCACGTTTTCTTCTGCATTTGCTGTTCAACTCTGTGTTTACAAGAAAAGTTTTAGGACATTCCTTTGTTGTTGTCAAAACCTTCTTTTATGCTATTCTGAAAAAGGCAAAAAGAAAGAAAGATGCGAAGTCCTACCGCATTTACGGCTAACACAATGTTAAACTCAAGTAGTAAGGACCTCCAAACATAAGCACTAATCAGGCTCACGATTACACTGTTAAGAGAAGCTTTAAAGGATGTAAATTTATGCCAGGAGTATGCATGAAGAGCGAAGAAAAATTCGGATACAAATACTTTATACTTATGTGACTTGGCCAATTGAAAGCCATTAATGAGTCAAAATTACTGAGATCCAAGAACGGCTGCCCTAACATCCGCGTCGACATTGAGAGGTCGACTCATTTCACACGCTTAAAACCTTTCGGCGGTACTTTTGGGGTGGAACGAGGCTAGTCAGGATGAAGGAGGCTGGTGTGTTAGACGTTAGAACAAATTTCTGATAATCCGGGCGCCTGAAGAAGAGGGTTGGGCAAAACGTTAGGCCGTTACTACCAAAAAAGACTCGCTACTAAATTTAAAGCCCTACTAGCCTTGCTTAGCCTACTCACCTGCACGATACATATAGGCCGTCCGCGCAGGGCGCGGAGAGTGCGCAAGGTGTGTATTGCGCGTCACTCCTCTTTCCCCGTGCACTCTCGCCGCCTGTTTTTCTCTGCGCTCAACTATTCTTTGGACGCAACAGCGTTGCTCTCCGCGCGCAGCGCGGACAACGTATACCTGAGACAACCAAATGTGCTAAGCTAAAAATCGAAACTTGTAAGAAACGAGTTGAAATAAGGTACATGTGTTAGGAACATGGAACATGAGTATCGATTGTTAGGTAGTACTCTGAAATATTTACAGACTTTGTGCTCTTCAACCCCACAAAAATCGCTAAAATACCCTACTTTCCGGAGTATAAGACGCATTTTTGTGCACCGCGCGCGAGCAGTTTCGCGACGACGCGGGCGATGTGCGGCGCTGCAAAGGCAGCGATATCAACTTTTCGTAAGTTTTAAGCATTCTTTCTCTGTTGAATTTCTTGTGGCCATATGTTGTTTGAAAAATCAGGCTGCTCTATCTTTACTTCATCATATGTCGCTAAACAAAAATTTTACACTGAAACACTACTGTTATCATTTGAAACTCGTCCAAGATTTGTCACTGAGTTTGTTTAAGTCTACATCTAGTCAAATTTTAGTTAAACTTTTCCAAAACTTGAAAGCACTGACATCCTGACTTTGAAGCGCCCATTCAGCAATCTCCAGGAGTATAGATAAGGGACCATTAAAGTTCAGCTCAGACCCAAACCCAAATCTCGATCGCAACTTCCGCGTTAACGTTCGCGCGGCAGGTGCGCCTTATATTAAGTTGTTACATAAGTTTTGTTACACTTTAACTTCTTACGACGATAAGTCATGCACCTCATATTCTTTACAGGGCTGCAGGGTACCATTCGATATAGCAAAGCAAGCTTTACAAGATAGTTTGCAAAAGTTCGCACCAACTTCGACCTATTGTAAGTTTGCATCCAAAATTTGAGCCGTACTGAAGGCTCAAAAATTAGTAAAAATTCATATCTTAGTTTAAGAAAATCTTTCGAATTTCCAACTTGCTTATAAAAATTGCACACTATATCAAACACTCATATTTGCTGTTGCTTTATTTTTTCCTTATTCAGAAATTGAGAAAACGATGATCTTCTTGTTCTTACAAAAAAAAAGAGCTATGCTGTTTCTATTCATGTAGCTGTATATTACAAGCTAGAAGTATAACCGTAAATTTTCAGCTTTCCAGAAGCCCTAATTCTCGAAAAATACCGAATTTAGCTTTTTTCACCCGGGTGTTCAACGCCAAATTAGTACTTCTCGGAAACTAAAAATTCTGGAAAGCTAAGAATTTTCGTTTATACTGGGCTTGTAGTATACAGCTGCATAAATAGAAACAGCATACCTTCGTTTTTGTAAAAACAAGAAAATTTTCGTTTTCTCGATTTCTAAATAAGGAAAAAATACAGCAACGGTACATGTGAGTGTCTGATATAGTGTACAACCTCTGTGAGCAAGCTGGAGATTTGTAGGATTTTTTTGAACGAAGATATGAATTTGCAATTGTTTAAGCCATCTGTACGATTAAGATTTTAGATGCAAACTCACAGTGGGTCGAAGTTGGTGCCAACTTTTGCACACCATCTTGTAGAGCTTGCTTTGCTCTATCGTATGGTACCCTGCAGCCCTGTAAAGAATATGAGGTGCATGACTTATCGTCGTAAGAATCAAAGCGTAACAAGACTTATGTAACAACCTAATACATGGGTGAGCCTTATACTCCGGAAAATAGGGTAGTTTTGTTTGGCATCCCACTATTTTCACTTCGTATAGCTGCTTTGCGTTTAGAATACATGTGGTCCTTCCTTCTCTCAATCTTGCAGACAAATAATCTATCATTTAGGGGATTGCAATTTCAAGGTATCTAAGCCTCGAGCTATAAAGAAAGTTATTTTGATGAATAAACAGTAATTCAAAGATAGGAATTTCAAAAAGAGTGATAAGGAATTCCAATAAGCAGGCTTTTTCAGATATAGTTGAGACAGGATTATAATTTTGATGGCAATCAAAAAGGCTTATATACAGCCGTGTTTAATGGTCCGATGGTCGGACTGGATAGGGTTGCGGGAAAGAAGGCAAAAATAGCCACATTCTGTTAATCTTGAGCAATCCGTCTTTATCAGGCCGATCGGTCAAGGAGATCCCGTGTCCGTCACAGACTGCACATATAAGAATTAAACGTAGAGATTGCTGAATATTTTCCACTTTTTTCAACAGGTTTTGGATCGATAAAACATGGTGCATCACGTGGAAATTGATGATCTTCCCGCAAAAAGTTTTGTCTTAAGGGCCGGGCATACTTCACGCGACTTCAGTCGCGGCGCGATTTGGCGATTCGTCAGAAGTCTACAGATACAACACTAGCAAACTGCGCATGCTTGGTGTGTATAGCTTACGTGGATTGATAAAATGCCCTATTTTCTGTACATTTAGAATGTGCTTACAGTGAGTTATGCACAGTTTGGAATATTGCCAAATCGCGTCGCGACTGAAATTGCGTGAAGTATGCCTGGTCCTTTAGCTCGAGTGGCCGCTGTAAAGGGACATGTGCGTGTTTTTGTACTTCGAAGATCATACCCTCGATAATCGTTCGGGATATATGAACAATGACAAATCGAACACGGTTGCAAGATTGTGTGGCAAAGGGAAAAACGCATGCGAGGTCGCAATTTTTCTTTGCTTTAGTCTCCAAACAGTGACTCTATCAATGATGAGCATCATGGATAGGCGGGCAGGGAGGTATTTGAGTAGTTTCTATAACTTTTTGAAGGGTTTTTCAAAATGTAGGTTGAAATTATGTACAATGTCGGGCAAGAAGTGTGGCACACGACCGCCGTAGACGACATTAATAACAGCTGAGCTTCTGATTTTATTAGAAATTAATTTTAATTTTCTAACTTTATTAGAAAGAAGAAGTCTTTCTTTTTCTAAAAGATACCTCGATGAGCTGCAGCTATGCATTCATCGCAGAGATAAAAATACAAAAAGAAGACCACTTGAGATCAGATTACTTTGAGTTAGGGCGCCAAAAGTTTGGAACACCGAAGAAAAATCTGAAATTGCCAGCATATGAGTTCTATGACCTACCCTTTGCATCTGAGAAAAAATTGTGCTGTTTGGACGTCTCAGTGAAAAGTTATAATTTTCGAGAAAAAGCGGCAAATTAGTCAAATTTGGCGTTTTCTATTGTAAACTCGAGAATTACAACTTTTCACAGAGACCTCCGAACAGCACAGTTTTTTCTCAGATGCAAAGTGTAGGTCATAAAACTTATTTACTGACTACTTCAGATTTCTCTGCGGCGAGACTTTTGGTGGCCTAACTTAAAATGGTCAAAGCTCAAGTGCTCTTCTTTTTCCATTTTTATCTCTGCGATGAATTCATATTTGCAGATCGTCGAGGTATTACAAAGAGGAAGACTTCTTCTTTCTAATAAAATTAGAAAGAAGCAGATCCGTTGTTACAGCAGGAAGTTACAAATTTTCAAATACGAAACGACAGAACTTTCGGGACAACCTAATATATCGCGAAGGAGGGCGGCCACAGTATATACAAGGTTTCCCGAAAAATGTGCCCACTGTTTGATCGTTAATAACTCTCGTGTCATGAGGCCTTTCAAGAAGCTTGAGGCACCATTTAATCATCAAACTCTTCATGACTGTAGAATTGCAGTAGGACATCCGGGAAGGAATTTAGAAAATTGAAAGCGATTTTTTTTGCCTCAAAAAGAGAACAGAGCCAGAAACTCTTGCACTGGACTAATCGAAGTCCTCTTTCTAAATATGGAATTTGCACTTTACTGTAATGCTCCTTTCATAAGTTATTTTAGGTCCGGAAACAAGTGTTTTCCTGTGTTTGTCTGAAGCGTGGTTACACCATTGAAACAGCTCAAAAGTGGTGAAAACATGTGTAGTGAAATCAAACCTTGCTACAGAAATTTCCACGTTTTTTGGAATTTTTCCCATCAAAATGCCTATTTCAAAATGTCGCTCTATGCTGAAAGTTTATACCGTAATCCTACAGTAATGAAGAGTGATTAACGTTTCGCTCCGCACCGTAATCCAAGTTGGACCTCGTACAAAATGGTGGCTCTTCTCGAAAGACATCATGACCCGAGAGAGTTATAACGATCAAACAGTGTTCACATTTTTTGGGGCACCCTGTATATTTCAATAGCTCAGATCTCGTAGTTTTTAAGCGAGAGATCTGAGTATATTAGTCTTCTCTAGTTTGAGTATGAGTTGCTGAGCGCAACCACTAAAGCGAAATTGGGACAAACTAGAAAGTCATCTTATATATAAAGCTGAATGTCTGTTTGTATGTATGTCTGTATGTCTGTCTGTCTGTCTGTCTGTCTGTCTGTCTGTATGTGTGTACGTATGTTCCGAATAGAAAATTCCATTTCTGAACCGATCCGGACCAAACTTGGCACACATACGCTACGGGCCCCGGCGGGTGTCATAGGCTACTTTTCGTCATCGATCGATATCGATTTTATCGATTTTTATCGATTTTTTTGCTGAGTTCACCCGGGGCTGGGAGTTGGCACAGGGGGGTAATCGAGCATGGGGATTCCGAATACAATATTGGTTTTCAGGATTATCGATTACTTTTATCGATTTTATCGATTTTTTTGCAAAGTTTGAGCTACGGGGCTGGGAGTTGGCACAGGGGGGTAATCGAGCATGGGGATTCCGAATACAATATTGGTTTTCAGGATTATCGATTACTTTTATCGATTTTATCGATTTTTTTGCAAAGTTTGAGCTACGGGGCTGGGAGTTGGCACAGGGGGGTAATCGAGCATGGGGATTCCGAATACAATATTGGTTTTCAGGATTATCGATTACTTTTATCGATTTTATCGATTTTTTTGCAAAGTTTGAGCTAGGGGGCTGGGAGTTGGCACAGGGGGGTAATCGAGCATGCTGATCATCCCCAAGGGGGTGATCAGCATGCTCGATTACACCCCTGTGCCAAATTCCATCCCCCTAGCTCAAATTTTGCAAAATCGATAAAATCGATAGAAGTAATGGATAATTCCAAAAACTAATATTGTATTCGTAATCTGCATGCTCGATTACCCCCCTGTGCAAACTCCCAGCCCCGCAGGTCAAACTTTACAAAAAAAAGCGATAAAATCGATAAAAGTAATGGACGATCCTGAAAACTAATATTGTGTTCGTAATCAGCATGCTCGATTACCCCCCTGTGCAAAATCCCAGCCTCGCATGTCAAAATTTACAAAAAATTGATAAAATCAATGAAAGTAATCGATAATTCTGAAAACTAATATTGTATTCGGAATCCCCATGCTCACTTCCCCCCCCCCCCTGTGCCAACTCCTAGCCCTGTAGGTGAATTCTGCAAAAAAATCGATAAAAATCGGTAAAATCGACATCGATCGATAACGAAAAGTGGACTGTGACACCCGCCGGGGCCCGAAGTCTATGTGTGCCAAGTTTGGTCCGGATACGGCGGAGCCGGGTAAGCCAGCTAGTAATCATTAAATTCGAAAGGCTCCCAATTCCTTAATATGCTGTTATTTAAGTGGGAGTTCTCATGTGGGCAAAGAAGGAGTAGTGCTTTGTATATGTAAGAGGATTTATCTAACTCATCTTGAAAACGAAGTTAACAAAGTTAAAAAATAATCGTTTCACTTGTGTGGCCCAATATTTGAAATTCCCAGGATTTGCTCGAACTCGGTTCATAGAAGTTATTTGAAATGCTTATTACGTAATTACTCATTATAATTGATAAGGTTTCGCTATGTTTACTGTTCTACACGATGATAGGTCAAATACCTCAGTGTGCACCCATTCTGCATAAAGGGTCTGGCGTTGCTGACGGATATCGTGTTACTGCCGTCACTATCACCTCACCAAGACCCCTCTTTCTTCTGTGACCCCTCACTGCGATCCCCAGGTGTGGCGTACCACAGCCCACGCTTGACCCTGGTTATATAAGAGGGTGCAGAAATTAAGTGAAGAGAGAGATGTATGATATTTCAAGCCACATCAGTTGGCTCCGCAAATGGACTCGAAAGCCATCTAACTCCAAAAATAGTTTGCCGCGCCTTCAGTTCACGTGACTTTATTTTGAATAATTTTTCAGAATAATTTTGGTGTCATACAATCCTCTCTTCACTGCTAACAAGCCTTTTGTTACCTCGGGCCGCGTGAATTCTCTTGCTTGCAAGAAGAGCGTATTGGAGCGCGTAATTGTTGATTCGGTAGAGAATGGGATCGGTAAGGCAGTGAAGCATTTGTCTCCAGAAAAGGCGGATGTGGAACTGAAAGAGAGGTGGGAGTTGCGGAAGCATTCTACACAGTAGAGCCCATCGAAGACAAATCGGGTAGCGATTACTTTCAAAAAAATCCATGCTTGAATTTTGTTTTGCTTTTTTTTCAAAAAATAACTTCTGGTTCTCAACTTCTGGATCTCTTCTTCAAGCCAAATTTCTTCACATAAAAATCTATTTATGACATTCCAACAAAGCTACTCGGATAAAATATATGCACTTTGCCATCCTCTATGCATCGGACGTGTGCTGATGAGTTTCTTTGGTGAAAATGGTTCTTGACAGTGCGTGCACATGACCACACCTGCCCCTCACCACTGACTTGTGCCGTTTTACAGGCTTTTAGCTCAGCCGGCAGTCGCTCCTCGAACCTGCAAGTAGGCTCGTTTGAAAGAGCGTGACTTCCCCAACCAAACAAGTTGAGTTTGAGAGATTCCGGCGAATTTACGGATGGGATGAAAAAGCGCAGCTTCAAATAGTAGGCTAAAGATTTGTCAGTTAAAGTCGAGCAAAGCTGCTTTCGCCACCAGTTCAATCCTGGAAGTTAAAAACTGTAAACTTTCTTGTAACAGATGTATTTCGAAGCTCTAAGGCTATTCTGGTGTTGATAAGAGCCTTCACTCCAACCACGCCTAAGGCTGCGCTTCTTCACCCCATCCGTAGAATCTCCGGGATTTCCCAAACTCAACCGCTTTGCATACCGTCCATACCGGTGTCGAGGAATTCAGGCTCGTTCGAAAATGAGCCGACATACAAGCTCCTGGGGCGACTGCCGGCTGAGTTACAAGCCCACAAAGCGGTGCAAGTTAGTGGTGAAAAAAGGATGGGTCATGTGCACGCACTGCAAGAACCATTTTCAGCAAAGAAACCCATCAGCACACGTCCGATGCATAGAGGATGGCAAATAGCATGCATTTTATCCGGATAGCTTTCTTGGAATGTCATTTTAGATTTTCATGTGAAGAAATTTGGTTTGAAGAAGGGAATTAGAAGTTATTTTTTGAAAAAAAAGCAAAATTAAATTCAAGCTCGGGTTTTTTTTTGGAAGTAACCCCCATCTACCCTAATCTCACGCGCATAAAGCGCACTTTCTCGAATTTTCAAGCGGGCCGCTCAGCCGCTTCGCTGTATTCCGGAAAGAAATCCTTACATCGCAGGATTTTCTCAAGCAATATACAGCACGTTATGGGGTCCTTTGGTTGTAAAATCCTTTGGCTTGTCTGGGCTGGTCGATTTTGGGAAAAATCTCCCGCGCTTTATACGCGTGCAATTAGGGTAATTATCGTCCTTGATGATCTCTACTATATATTGTGTTTATCTACCCGAAAAACTTTTGTTTTAAGTCCTAAAAGAAAATTTTCGCGTTCGAAAATTATTGTCCGCGACATTGTGACGCGGCCGTTTTCGTACTTTTTTTTGAGAAAGATTTTCAAAATTTTTGTATCACATGTTTTCCAGGAAGCGCGATGTGTGGGGTGTAGCTCTTGATGATCCCTATCACCGCATGCAATCCAATCATTTTTTCAACTTTGTTTTATATCTGAAAATGAGCGATGAAAAAAAAGGGAGTTGTCCGCAACTTTTTGGCGACCATTCATGCGTCTGAGATAAGTTTTGTTTGTCATGAAAAGGTTGAAAAATTTGCTGGGTATATGGACGGGAAGTTGGCCAAATCTTCGAAGTTTTTCACTCGTTTAATTTTACATTAAAAACTGAATAGATTGCTTGTGATCAAAAGGTTCTGAGAAGTTGTTTACCATCGCTGGGACTCCGATCTCAAACGGAACAATATTTCATTCAGTTGAAGGCTGATACATGTATTTTTTTCCCGAGCTTCTCCTCGCAATCCTCAAAAACCCATTTGCTTTTTCTTCCAAGACTAAGTTCAGCCTGCACCGTAAGCCAGCTGTGCGACGCCCTGTGCCTAGCTCTATCAAATTGTGACTTTTGCGCGCTAATGCAATAGCAGAAGAAACTATTTGCATCTTGTACTTGTAAAATTAGGGTACTTTTATCTTTAATACTGATATTAAACGTTAATAATTAGTACTGACTGATACTGACTTACAATTCAATTTATTTTTGGCACTTGACTGAACCTATAATAAAAGAAGAAATTAAAATTACACTCGTATCATCGATGTGCTGCAAATTGAATTTGTACCCTTTTGTACGCCAAAATAGCATATAGAGAAATAGAGATAAAACGATCAAAGCAGGTTGACGTCGAACTTTTTACCTTAACGGAATTAATAAGCTGAAATGTTGTTAATCGAAACTATACCGAACAGCGTGATGAGATTATGTGCAAATTGAGGGCTTTCAGCGGATGTTTTCTTGAAACAATCCTACATGATAAACTAATCCTTTGGAAAAAAATTACGTCACGCAGATGGACAGAATTGTCGAGTTATTTCAGAGAGAGTTTATAACAACGCAAATTTCTTCATGATGCGAAAACAATAGCGTACCTTGTTTGGACAGCAAAGTCGCAATATTTTTCAAAACATCTTCGTCGGTAAATGATTTGTAAGGGCAAACCAAATCACTTGCAAAGTGTGGCAAACATGCATCCAGCAGTATTGCGTTGTAAGAAGCTCCTAAGTAATCTCATTAATCGCCATGCTTATACAGAGACAACCAAACCTTTCTTAGCCCTATCAGCTAGAAAAGTAATTCCATCAGTCAGGATGACTCGTTGGTGATCATCTTCTAAAAGGCCAAACCACTTTCTAGCTGCGTTCAGCACTTGTCCGCTGATCTCCACAACGGTTATATTCATCTGTCAATCAATCATTTGCACTACAGCTTCTTTGCAGTAAGTGAACCAACCCGAGGAAATATTTGATGCAGGAAGCTAGTAACTGTTCCACCTCCTAAACCAATTGATAAAATTTTGGCATCACAATCTTCGGACAGATTGAAGCGATCGCTAACAAATAATGACTCTGAAGAAGAAATGCCACTTTCAAGTAACAGAAAACATCCGCTACCAATCATCGTGTAGAAGTAATCAAATTGTATAAACGCGGTCCTATCTATTCTCCACCGTGATGTATCGAAATTCTCCTCCGTTAATGCTGAAAATCGTAAACATCAAAAAAACCGCTATGTATGTGTGACATAGCTAGTGCCTACTTGGATGACGTTATAGTAAACACTCTTTGTACACATTAAAAACATGTATATATTGCTATAAATTCAATCAATAACGCCAAACAGCTGATCATTTTCGATTCAGCGGCGATGAGTGAGTTTTTTGCAACTGATCATGCTTTTCTTTTCAGACTTCAATAGGAGTTGCTATAGGTGAGTAGTGAGTGTTCATTTATACTTACTTGTAATCACTTTTGTCATATCTGACGCATAGCCGGTGCTGATTTTGCACTGTAGCTGTATATTGCGTGCTGTTACTTCGTTTTTTTACTTATATGGCGTGCTATTACTTTTTACTTATTAGTCGCTTTCGATGGATTTGCTTTTACTATTTCATCGAATTACTTCACTATGCTTACCCGAACCTCAACATTGAAACTCGCCTTCGAATCTTCACAATAAAACTTGAACAAAACAACATAGGCATGAAGCGCACGTAAGCAGTGAAGTAATCCGATGAAACAGTAGAAGCAAACTTCAAAAAAAACGACTAGTAAGTAAGCAATAAAAGTAATAGCATGCAATATACAGTTACAGTGCAAAATTAGTGCCGGCAATGCGTCAAAACTGACAAAATATTATAAAATACTAGCTGGCTTACCCGGCTCCGCCGTATGTTCCGAATAGAAAATTCCATTTCTCAACCGATCCGAACCAAACTTGGCACACATACACTTTGGGCACCGGCGCGTGTCATAGGCTACTTTTCGTCATCGATGATGCCGATTTTATCGATTTTTTGCAAAATTTGAGCTAGGGGGCTGGGATTTGGCACAGGGGGGTAATCGAGCATGCTGATTACGAATACAATATTAGTTTTCAAAATCGTGCATTGCTTTTATCGATTTTATCGATTTTTTTGCAAAGTTTGAGATACGGGGCTGGGATTTGGCACAGGGGGTCCCCCTGTGCCAACTCCTAGCCCCGTAGCTCAAATTTTGCAAAAAATCGATAAAATCGATATCGATCGATGACGAAAAGTAGCCTATGACACCCGCCGGGGCCCGTAGTGTATGTGTGCCAAGTTTGGTCCGGATCGGTTCAGAAATGGAATTTTCTATTCGGAACATACGTACAGACAGACATACAGACAGACATACAGACAGGCAGACAGACAGACAGACAGACAAACAGACATTCAGCTTTATATATAAGAAGTGCAGTTCAACTCACCTTTAGCAACTCCTATTGAAGTCTGAAAAGAAAAGCATGATCAGTTGCAAAAAACTCACCTATCGCTGCTGAGTCGAAAATAATCAGCTGTTTGGCCTATTCTGCGCCACGGCTAATACCGTACAAAATACGCACATCTGCGGACTTTGCAGACGACACGCCCCATCTATCACGGGGAGACGACGATACACTCTCTCAACAAGTTAGCCATTGACATGCAAAAACACAGCCTTGCTGGCGCGTCATAAAAATCCAAGTTCTTTCTTCATTTAGCTGTGATTGAATGTCTCGGTTACAGCGTACACATAACAATATGTAAGAAATTGGGGTATAAACGGACATAGACTAGGAGGGACATAGCGCAGGGTATTGTGGAAAGTTATGTGACTGAAAATTTTGGCAAGCTTTTTCCAAATCTCCTACCTTCAAAAATGATAAAATGGCTCGTTTGCAACACACAGATAACGATCTAGCACGAAATTTGGTGTGTATACGCGCGGGAATGCCCACCTAAGGTAGGCAAAACTTCCATTTCACATATGTTTTGCAAAATTTTTACATAAATCTGTTCTATACCTAAAGTTCAGTATGTAGTAACATTGTTATTTCAAAACCCCTCCTCTCTTCCTTGCTGAGATCCGAAAAGCAATGATGCCGGTTTTTTTTTAGGAAGAAAGCACGCTTCAATCGAACAATCTATGCAGCTGGCGGGATCAAGTGTGAAATCGTAAATTTTGATAGTGGCAAAAGCGAAGCCGTTTTACTGACGTCCATTTGCCACCTTCGTGCTGGGCCTTGGCTTAAACACTTGAAAGTAGGATACCATATCAGTAGCGGTTGACTCACTTTTTTGCGTTACCATTCAGTCATTATCTTTTGTGACTTTCGTTTGAGCTTTCTATGATCTATTTTTCAATTGCTCTTACCTATGCTGCTCAATATTATCATACTTCAGTGGCCGTATTCAACAGCGAACGCAGCGGGTTCCAGAACCCATTGGGTGGCTCAACCCACAAAACCGGTGTTCACGAAACTAGTGGGGGTTCCGGCCCAGTGGTTAAGGCTGCGTTCATACTGATCCCAAAGTTCGAAAACAGTTCCAGCACAGCGCTCAGTTCGAGTGTTGTGCTGGGACTGTTCTCAAACTTTCAGATCAGTATGAACGCAGCCTAAAGGCACCGTCCACCCAAAATTTCGACCTCCATGTTTTTGCCGTTCCAGGACCTTTTCATACCCCTCATCTCAAATATCAAGCCGGAAATTTGCGAAAACCACGAAAACTCCCGTTTTCAGAACCCGCAGAGCGACTTCTTCGGATCGGTAATTGGTTACGCGCGCACGGATGGGCGGGCCGAACGTCACGCCCACTCAAAAGGGACGAGCCGAAGTGGCGAATCTGTCATCCGAGCGATTCTCAAAGCAATTTTCTCGCTTCGAGAGCAACTTTAGGCAGCCCAGTTTGGGCAAATCATACAGTTGGGGGCCCGGCAGCTGCTAGATATCATAATCTCACCAACCCCAAATTGGATGGACGGTGCCTTTAATCCCACCCAGTGGGTTCTGGAACCCACAAAAAGCCACCTAACCGGTATACACGAACGAACCCAGTGAGTTTGCGAACCCAAAAGTCAATCATACTGGAATTCACGAAGCAAGTTAGCCAGATCCCGTGGGTTCGAGCAATGGGTTGGCAAACCCAAGCGTGGTATAATTTCGCGAATGGGTTACATGTGAACCCAGTCCCTTTGCTGATTATTAAAAGACTTGTGAGCGGCGATATTAACACTAAGCAGCACTCAAAACAGAATTATACTTATTTAGACTTTAAAACCTTTTGTAAATGAGAATGATTTTTCTACTAAAAGAGCTTGACCTTAGTGCCAAATTCTCTCGGAAGGGGAGAGCAAATTTTTTTTCATCGAATAAATTTTGTAGACCTTAATTTGTATACTATTCGGAGTTCCATGTATGTCTAAAATTCATGATGGTTACGAATTAGTGCAAATCATAATTACAATAATAAATTACGTTTGACTATTTATTGATGTTTTCTTTGCATTTCGAGTCAGAAAAAGTCTCACATAAAGGGAAGAGTGCGCTTTCGGAAGCATACTGAGATTGCTGTGAGGACAAAACACTTTCATAACCTGTTTGGAGTTCCGAAAAGGTTTTTTGCAGATAAGCACAAGAATAATATAATACAACATTTTCGCAAAGAGAGCAAGCTGAACTGGTTTCAGTTACAACTTAGCAGTCTCAAAGAAGTCACGGACATCTATGAAAAATTCGTTGCATCAATTCGTAAAAAGCTTAAAGGCAGCATCCAAGCAGATTTAAACATTGGTGCTATCTCGCGCAAATCCGACTCTTGAAGACCTCCTGTGAAAAAAGAAAATCGGCGCAGAAAACGCTGACCTCCGCTGACCTCGAGGACCACGCCTGCTCCTTCGCACGGCACGCCCCTTGAAAAAACTCTCATCTCTGTTTTCACGTGGTAAACACAATGAAAGGCATTGTGTCTACCTGTTCATGCTTGTTTTCGACAAGGATGGCATTAGAACTCAATAGCACTCGTCCACGCTTCTCAAAAAATTGTCTCGATAATGGGTCTTTGAGGAATTTACGCATTTTGATTGCCATATTTAGGATCAGCGCCATGAAAACGCCTGGATAAGGCGGAAAAATAGAAGTCGAGATTCTGCCTGGACGCTGCCTCTAGACGCCTCTCCATGTTTGCTAGTGCTATCTCAGAATTTTTCGGATATCACTGCGACTGAGAAACAAACTCTTTGTGTCTAATTTTTGGGATGTTCGTAAGCTCCTCAAATCAAAAATATAGGTTAAAAAAGTAATTTCGTTAGAACCCGTTTGAGTTCCCAACAAAATGAAACTTGACAGACAGGAGAAGGGAATTGAGTTGGTGGTAGTCACAAGCTTGTAGCATCAAAAAACCAGAAGTCTGTACTTGATAATCACTTGCACATTTCAAGCTAAGCAAAACGTACCGGGTTCCCTACCAAGTCGGGCGTTCCCGTATGAGAAATTCAAAAATGGGTAATTTATATAGTTTGGTTACGGCTCTCCTACTTGCAACTACCAAATTCCTCAACTTCACCCTCTACAAAGGGCCCGGCAGAGTCCGTTTCTGGGCTTTTTGAAAACGAAATCCCCCCCCCTGACTTCGGAAGTTTTACGAAGTCCCCTTTGACCTGCCGACTTAGAGAAGATGAAAACAACAAAAAAATTACCATTCTGAAAGAATAAATGTGAAATAAGAGTAAAAATCCAAAGTGGAGCTGAATACTACGCATGCACAGGAGTTTGGCGTTGGAGCGCGATATCTAACAAAGCCATTCATGAAGAAATTGAGGCAAAAAACAAAGGAAAGGCAATGATATGAAAGTGTCTTCATACACAGGGACAGAATTTTGATCGGGGAATCCGTCCATGCTAAGGAAATCCGAACTCATATAAAGTGACAGAAAATATGCTCCAGACGATCTCAGATCGTCTGGTGGCCGTCTGGAGACAAACAAATTTTGAAAAAGGTATTTCTTCATATAAGTTTTTGAATTTTTTCACATAACTCTTTTGCAAATAATTTTCTATGTATACGGTCTAGTTTTGGTATCATATGATTCTGCGTGCGCTGTAAACAAGCAAGTTGTTTA